GAAGAGGAAGAGGAAGAGGAAGAGGAAGAGGAAGAGGAAGGAGAAATGGCAGTCATGACTCCTCCAGAGAACCCCCAGGCCCTGAAGCTTCCACATACACACACACCTTGCTGCTGCTCTTGGATGCCCTGAGATGAAGAAAAAATTGACAGCTCTGAGAACGGATCAACACCACTGAATAAGTATTAGTATCAGTATCAATATCAGTCAGAAATGGTGCAGTTGAAACTATCAGAAGAAATAAAGCTTCATTTTTACTTGTATTTTCTTTTAGCACCCATCCACCCCCCGCACTGAGGTATAGCATAGACCTCTCTGTAGCACTGGGAACTCTGGATCATGGAGGACTGTTCCAGGAGACTTGTCTCCTCTTCTGTCATCCAGTGCTTGTCAGAGTCAAAAGTTGCCTCCCAACAGTGGGATAAAGATGTCATCAAGTTTGTCAGAAATCCATCCATTCATATATCAAACAAGCAAGGATGGGCAAGCTGAAAATATTCCAGTGTACCCCCTGAGTTCTTTTAAAGTAAAGTGTGCAAATAAGAATAACCAGACCAAAAGCCTCAAAACTGAATATGTTCTTTATTATAACATTGGTTCATCCTAATCTAAAGAAGGAAATTTGAGGGTGGGAAAAAAAGAGGGGGGTGCTAAGGGAAAATACAAGCAAAAATGAAGCTTTATTTCTTCTGGTGGTTTCAACTGCACCATTTCTGACTGATATCGATGCTGATACTAATACTTATTCAGTGGTGTTGATTCCCTTCATCTCCTCCTCCTCCTCCTCCAGGTTATTGGCTTTCAGGTTTCTAATTTTAATCCCTTCCTTGAATCCAGCCCTCTGAAATTGAATCCAGCTCTGTGGGTTCTATCTTCATTTTGGTTGGAGATCCTCCTACTCTTTAGTCTGTCTCAGCACTGGAGTTATGTCTGTTTGGAGAGTACATCCAGGTGTGTCCTGGGGTGAACCAGAAGAAATCCGACAGGATAGCTAGTCAGCAGTGACTGCCAGTTGCAAGGTGGATCTCTGAAGAGTTGCCAAGGTGCTGTCCTAGAGCTTCCTTTGTGGACAATGTTTGTTGAGTTGGTTGAACTTCATTCAGGTTTTGAATATTGAGCACAACAATTAGCATAATCAGCAAGGTACTGTTAGCAATGTGGGAAAGGATTAAGAACTAGATCTTGCCTACAGGCAGGATAAAAGGTTCCCTCCCACTGAAGGAGAATAGGAAGTTTGACTTTTTAATTAAAACCGTAATTGCACTGGGTCCATTCCCATGGAGTGAGAAAGAAAAGGTATTTAAAAATGGCCACAAGCTAGCAAATTGCTCTTTAATCATTTGAAGAATGCTGCTCTGTGAAGGAGCCATTGGAAAGGTTAAAACAGCCACCGCAGCTTCTCTTTTCTCAGAAACTATGCTCAGGAGTCAAAGGAGAAGTGCAGACTTGTGTAAAACCAATTAGCTAAATTGCTGAACAAATTGGCAAAATTAGTACTGCTGAGCAGCTCCACCTGAGGAACAAACACCTGTTTATGACCCAACTGAAATTCCAAATCATGGGAATTGGAATAAGATTGGATGAATCTATCCAAGAAAGTCTGGAACTCCAAGCTTAGATAGGAAACCTACTAAAGCAGAATTGAGTATTCACGAACTGTAGTATATGATAAAGGAACTATCCAGAGGTGCAGTTTACCAACAGATAAGTAATTGTGAAAACGACTTTCAGTTAGCAATGACCTGGCAGGATTTAAATGCTTTAAGACAAACAGCGGAGTTATTGCAGGAAACCTGCCATACCAAGGCACATGATCATGTCACAAAAAGATCTGTTCAGTTTATGACAGGAGTGGCTTTCACAATGCTCATGGTTTGCTCCATCGTTACGATATGCACCCCAATGCTATCAATGCATTTAAACTTCAGTAGGGGATGGTCAGTGGTTCGCTCCTTAATTCCTATGTTTTGTTTTTCCTCACAATTTCATTCTTGGGGCTACAGAAATACATTTTGAAACTAGACCAATTTCTTGGCTTTTCTTAAAAGCAGGGGCTTTAAGTGGCAAGAGCTCTGTCTGACCTATCATGCTACCAAAATAAGCAATTTTACTGTGTTTTTTTTTTTTTTTGATGCACTTTAGAATTCCTAGAACTTAAATGTTAATTTTTCTTTTTCAGGTTGAAAATATTGATCCTTCCTCCTGTTCCAGTGCCCAGAATTAAAGGAATTGATCCAGACCTGTTAAAGGTAATGGGCAAATTGACTGCGGTTGTACAAAATCAACATGCTTGAGGGTTTGTCTGCATAGCACGGATGGCTTAAATATTCTAAAATGGTATACTATCTAAGGAAAAGTGTTGTCCAATTTCTTGCATAGGTTTATGTAATAATTTTTACACATTTAGTAAAAGCATTCTTTCCAGTTTGGTGTTGGGACTGATTGATTGATTGATTATGTGCCATCAAGTTGGTGTCAACTTTCAGTGACCACATACATAAAGAAATATTCTCGAGGATGATCTGTTCCCAAACTAGTTCTTCAAGTCTTCCAGTGGTGTACCCATCACCTCTGTAACTGTACCCATCCCTTGTAGCTGGTTGTCCTCATCTTCTCTTTCCTTCCACCTTTACCAGCATTATAGACTTCTCCAAAGATAAAGGTCTTTGATATAACATTTAAGTTCTAGGAATTCTAAAGTGCATCAATGATATAGATTATAGATAACGATATAGATAAAGGAAATAAAATGCCCAGAACTCCCAACTTGTGTGTCCTTAAATGATGGACCATTTTGAGAGATTTTTTGGACTTAATATACTACTATACTCATGCAGATTTTAATATGGGCCTAGTATAGGCTATCAGCATACTGCTAGTTCCTTGTGATACAAGAAGCTGAATCACACAAAGTAGGTTAAGGTTGTACATTACTTTGCAACCAACTTTAATAATCCCAAGCCAGAGTGTTGTCTTTGTCTTTGGCTAGTAACAGCAAAAGAGTCCAAGGAGTCAGAGGACAGGAGCAGATGCTAATTGTGCTGACTCCTATAACTCCCTCTCATGGGAGTCTCCAGCAAAGCTAGTATTCTTAGACATCACATTAAGACTTCTGCTCCCAGGTTTCCTCTGTCCTCTAGTTGCATCAGGTTTCAAGTCTGGGGCATAATTTGCATGATCTTTTAATTAGGCAATTGATTAAGAATTCTGTTTGAGTAGAATAACTACTACTGCAATGCATGTAGAATTCATACATGAATGACATATTTAAACAATAATTGTTACTCCTTTGTTGTATTTTTAAACATTTGTCCCAAGAAAGGAAAACTGGATGAAGTTAATTCCATCTTAGCCAGTCATGGTAGCTACATGCCCCAGCTTTACGGAGATGACTCTTGGGTGGAATTTATTGAGCTGGATATTGATGAAGCTGAAGAGAGAACTGAAGGATCAGATACTGATAGGCTCCTTGGTGATGTTCACATGAAGTCTCATGGCTGCCTTGCAGTGAGGGATGATGATTCTGGACGGGCCAGCTGCTGTGAGCCTGATATCCCAGAGACTGATTTCAGTGCAAGTGATACATGTGATGGAACTTCAGATATTGATCAGTCCAAAAAGGTAACTGATAAAGAAGAGGATCTCTTGTGCCTTGATCAAAAAGACAGCGAAAAGTCAATGCCAGGTCTTGATGATGTATCTGCCCACTTGCTGTCGGATGATCCAACCAAAGAACAGGACCTAAAACCCCATGTTCCTGCCACTGAGATAACCAATCCACCTGTCCAGACCCAGTTAAGCAATCAAAGTTCAGTAGGAAACATTGACTTTTACACACAGGTCAGCGACATTACACCAAGAGGAAGTGTTGTGCTATCCCCGGGACAAAAAATTAAGATGGGGAAAACCCAAAGTGAAGCTCAGAAAGAACCAGTTGCACAGTGTCAACCAACCTTGGCCACGGACAGTGCCTATTTCTGTGAGTTGGATGTGAAAAAGTGTGTCACTGTGACACCTCCCAAAGAGGATGAGCCAGAAGTTCAAGTCCAGAGCTTTTTCGAGGATGCTTACTTGACCACTGATAGCCTTATCACTCATCCTGTGAGCCCTACTACAGTAGCAACAGCTGCAGAAGAAAAAGAGCCAGAAGGTTCTGAGATACCTGTGGCAGACTATACCTCCATTCATATGGTACAGTCTCCACAAGGCCTTGTTCTCAATGCTACAGCTCTCCCTGTGCCAGACAAAGAATTCATCATGTCATGTGGCTATGTGAGCACAGAGCAACTTAACAAAATCTTGCCATAGCTTTCTTTTTCTTGAGTATGTGGGAAACTGTATCATCCCTAGCTCCATAAGGCCCAATATACATATAGAGTTCTTCAAGCACAGGGGTTTTCCAATTCATTTCAGTGTTACAGAAAGCTTCTGATGTTTGCAGAACATTTATTAGTTATTATGTGAATGGGGAGGCAAATTCCCAAGAGGAATTCTGTGTTCCTATGCTTTAACCAGAGCCAAGATGTCCAATAGTTTCAGATGGTTGGTGATGATGCAGCCCTTTCCACTTTCACCTGTGATGTTGAGTCAATCACAGTATTGTCTTTGTGTCTTGTAAATATTGTCTTACAAAATGTTGCTGGGGCTGGTTCAGTAGCGTGACTGTCTTTTGTTGTAGGTATTGATTTGGGCTTCACCCAAACACATTGGATGTCTGTGTCATGCATTGTAAATCGTTTTTCTTCAAAAAGCTAATAGTAAGTGTGGAATTTTGTTTGTGTGCTTGTTTGAACATTTTGAGAAGTTTATACTGGGAATTGGAGAATGAAAGATTAGATAAAGAAGCAAAAATAGTTTTGTTAAATAAAGCATTATTATGGTTAATATAAATATAAATCTACTTTAATACTTCATATAAGCAAGCATGAATATTTTATACTTAGACTGCACACTGTAGTTTAATTATTATGATCTGTCTATGGAATGTATCTGCTGCAATCAGTGTAGCAATTACAAAAAGAATAAGGAAAAATATTTTTATACCTCCATCAAAGCTATAGAGAATTTAAGTTGTGGCACTACTGGGGGTGGGGGGTGGGGTATTCATTTCTTAAAAGCACTATTCATACTTCTACATTTTGTAGCAAACCACAAACACGTACAACATTGAATATTTTTTACTGGCATATCAATCTGTCGTACAATTTTATAGCAGTAAAACCTAAAATGGATTTGGATTTTTCAGGGCTTTTTAGGAACACAGTTACATTTTTTATAACTAAAGGGTAAATAGGTGAGTTGATAGTAGTATTCTTCACAACAAAACGTTTACATCCTTTAAAGGTTAAACAAAAAACCCAACACTAATACTGAGTCAAAGTTAGGTTGTCAGCATTTTAGATTTTGAATCAAATGAAAATACGAAACTCAGTAGAACAGTATTATAAACAGTGCAACTTTTTATTTAGGATAATCTGCTAATTAATACTGATTGTAGGAGAGTTTTAAAGAATTAGTGTGCTTAAGCCTTACATGTTCTTTTCTCATGGTACGCCTTAACATATTTTAATTTTATATTTTGTTTACATAAACCAGGTTTAAATTCCAAGGCCTTTTCAAATAGGCAGTCTGCTTACTTGTTTATTTCCTCGCTGTTTTCCAGACAGCTAATACTGCTCTCAGCCTGAGCCCGCAGGTGACTGTTCCTAAATGTAGACCTAGAGTATGTCCAGCACACAAACTTCCTAGAGTCACTGACCTGAACTGGGAGTTTATGACCTGGAGATATGAAGCTTTTGTGCCGTATAAACGTTTCCTTGTTCTGATTCAGAAACCTTCTCCATCTAGCCCTGATAGACATCTTTTACTGACCGTAGCTCCCTGAGATCTTCGGCAGAGGTCTTTTACATTATCTATTGCCCGAGTCTTTTTTTTAAGATGTCGGGGTCAGTCTTAGACTCTTCTGCACATAAAGCGTGCATTATATCACCAAGCTAGTGATCCCTGATAGGGGCAGAAATGTGGATGGGAAAACATTACAATGAATTCAGAGCTACTCAGAGATGATTACAGTTGTCCCATTATAGAAAGGGTGCAGATATTTTGCACTGATCACAATAATGGGTATCCACATAACTGTGGCGGGGGGGCGGGGGAAGAGTTGTCTCTGAACTGGTCTTAAGAGGATTTAAATCTAGAAGAAAAATCTTTCCTTTCCATTGCTGTTCCCTTTGTGGGCCATTACAGTTAGTGGCCATCTGACAAGCTGTGATAGTAATGAACGTAGTATGTAGATTACACTTGCCTTCTTGGAAATGTGTTTATATTATACCTGGGTGGGGGGTTTGTTAGTATTGTTTTGATTTGTTTTAAAGAAGCAAGGTGAAGGTCTTGTTACGTAGTGTATTTGCAATAGTCTTCAGTCTTGAAGACAACCGTAGTGCAATTGCTGCCTGTTTGCTTAGAAGTAAGCCATAGTATGTTCTATCAGGCCAACTTCCATGAGGTGGGCTTTTATGTTGGCCAATCTAATTAGAGAGAAGTTTGCAAAAAATTCACATGGGACTTCTTAATAAAGTTGCTTAGGATGATACCACCACAGAGAAAGAAGGCAAGCTTCAGTTATTTAAATTTTTGAAGGCTTCTTAATAAGAGAGGAAAGTTAGACTGGCTCTTTTTTCTGCTAGAGGTACCTATCTCGCTCAGCTAATTATCCCTAGAAAAACTGAGAACTGGAAAGGGGTGGCAGGATACATTGGCAGGTTGTAAGAGACCCTGTTGGTAGGAACAGCTAAAATGAAAAGAATTCCAAGTGAGCAAGCTTTAGGAGACATATGAAATGGTGTAGAAGTTTAAAAATGACCACACACCTGCTTCTCAGCAACAACTGTTAAGGTTTAGATTCCAACATCCTGGGTTACATACGCAGGCCTTGGGCAGGGATACACATGTTAGTATGTATAAGCATCTTAAAAGGAAGAAAGTTGCTCGGAAGCAAGTCAACAATTCAGAAATAAACTTTCTGATGTATTCATTCTTTGGCTTGTATTTGGCTTTGCATTTAAGATGTATTTTCTCTAACAGCTGGCACCTTTAATTTTAAGCACTAATGCAATTAAAGCTATGTAAGCCTCTCTTAATGGCGAGGGAAATTAATGCTATGTTTCTCTTGTCAGATAGATGTTTTTTTTTTCCATCACCAAAAACTAGTTAAATACCTCAATCAATCTCAGAATGTCATTTTGGTACTTTGCTGGTTACGTAAAACAATATACTACAGTATGAAGATTTGTGTATTTCTGTTTATATATTTAACTTGCCTTATGTCAGTGTTCTAATTCCTTCCTCAAAGTTTAAATAAATTTATTTTCTTTAATTCATCATGATATCATTGCATACTTCATTGCAAAACCCTTACAATGAAGGGGGGAAAACACATAATTTCAATCAGTCCTTTACTATCAATGGATGCCATTTTTTAGATGTCATTCCTGTAAAGTATAAATGAAACCACATGGGAAATTCATAGAAAGCATGATTGGCAGCCCTGATCTCCACATCTACCTTTTGTAGCTGAGAATGAGGACATCCTAATCCACTCTAGTAATCCATTCCTGTTCATGGAGATGCTGGATGGGATTCTGAGGATTGTAGTCCACCTCATCTAGAGCAGGGTTGGGGTCCATGAATTCCCTCTTTGTGGCCCTTGGGATCCTTTTTGAAAACTGGAAGCATACTTTCCCATCATTTTGTAAGCTTTAAAATACGTATGCCACAGTTAAAACCCTAAGAAAACTATGCAAAAGCCCTAAAACAGCCCCACCCACATGTGTGGTGTGACCCCATGAAGTCCCCCGGTTTCTCAGAAATGTGACCCTTATCTACGAAAGGTTGCCCACCTCTGAGCTACAGAAGTTTAGGTAGCCTCAAGAACTCTGCTGCCTCCACTGGTGAAACAGCACAAGAGATATCGGGGGGGGGGGGGGG